GTCTCTCGCTGCAGGAGGGAGGCTTCGAGTCCGTGCTCTTCTTGCGAGATAACAGCAGCTGCGAGTTCGATGGCGGAGTCTCTGGCACCGTGTTAAATATCTGTTAAAAATAATAAACAAGTTGTTTTTTGGCATCAGCCCTCTGAACGGAGCAGCTGCCCACCTGCCTGGTCTGCACCGCTCTGCGACCGCTCTGCAGAGCAGCGTCTAAGGAAGACACGCATCAAGAAGGCAACATTTGGGGTACAATTTCCTAAATTCCATATTCCCACTCTGTCTGTGCTCTTTTTCTTTATTCATCACCCAAGACACATCACAAGATGTGAAAAACCCCGATAACCTGGCACTCTGCTCAGTTTTGGAGGGTGTGTGGTGTCCCAGTAGGTGATGGCAAGAGTGCCCTGGCACAACAACTCCTTGTGTCCCCAGAGAGGCTCCCCTGCAGCACAGCCCTCGGCCACCAATGCCGACCAGCTTGGGAAAGTCTTTGAGACTTCCAGCCACAACTGTCAGAAAACTGAGTAATCACATTTTTCTCAAGGGGAAGGAATTTTAAAACTGCACAAACCTAAAGAGCAGCGGGTTTGTTTGCTGGTGATGTTTGGTTATTTATTGTTTGTTTTCTGGAAGCCCAGGCTCAGGCAGCAGCCGTGCTGCCTCCAGACCAGCTCTCACAAGGTCTCCCTTCTCCAGACACCAGCCCTCAGTGATTTCCATGCTCTCCTGTCCCTGCCGGGGGTTGCCAACAGGAACACCGTATTTTGGAGGCAGCTTGCTGCTCACCACAGTTCTGGAGTGACTCCGGAGCATGGAGCCATCACCACCAGTCCCCGGAAGCCCCTGCCTTGCAGAGAGCCATGAAATGCCGTCTGCCAGCCAGCGGGAACGGCTGCCAGCAGCTAATTGGTTTGTTGCATTAACAACAACAAAATCCTCACACACACACAGAAACCCTCCATGCTGATTGCTACAAACAAACACTAAAGAGCCAAGATGCCAAAAATTGTAACGTCACATCTCAACCAGCTTCACTGTAAACCTCTTGTATTGAGCCACAACCTCCCCCATGAGCATCCTTCACCCCAGGAGCAGGGAGCTCCTCTGGGGAGCAACTGCTGTCCCAGCGGCACGGCCAGCAGCCCACGCTGTGCCAGGACACGACACGGCATGTCCCAGCATGACACGGCACACCACAACCTCCTGATGAAGCAGAACCACCAGCAGTTCTCCAGGTTGATCTTCAAGCATGAACCTCCTCGGTGCCCCCAGGATGCCCACGATGGCATCTCCACCGAGAGGCGGAAGGTGATGGGGAGGCGGAGGCAGGGCTATTAAAAGCTGCTTTCTGTGCCATCTCAGAGCAGCACAGAGCACACAGGATAAATTTAGCTGTTCATGATGGAGAAAAGTCAATTAACAGCTCCATTTAAAAAAGCCCACCACTAATTTTGAAGGTCTAAGGAGGGAGGAGTCTGAGACCCCAAGAACTGTGAGATGAAGAGCTCACTGCAGATGGGACTTTGCCATTATTCTGTACTGGGAAAAGGCAGAGATCTCCTCAGAAGGAAACCAGCACTGCTGGCCCCAAAACGCCTACTCCACCTCCCTCAGGTGAGACTCCATTGGCACGAACCCCCCCGACTCCCCTTCACAGGAAGCTTCTCAGGTCCGTTTCATTTCTTTAATTTAACGAGAACAGCCGAGCCGGGCTCCTCACTGCGCAGACCCGCGTTCCAGCTCTCCCAGTCCCAGAGCCCAATTAACGGGGAGAGCGAGACGGTTTAATAGCCGGAGTGGGAGAGGAGCAGCCAGGACTCATCAATCACATTTACAGCCGTACCGCGCTCAGCCTGACGCAAGCGGCAATTTGTCGGCTCCACATCACCTTCTCCCTGCCTGCAACACGCCAAAGACCCCGCAGCACCTTGTCTCGGGTGCTAAAAGGATTTTTTAAGTACCCCACCCCCCT